ATTGTTGAATTAAAGTGTGTTTTATCTGATATAAGAATATATATAAGAAGATATATATATATATAAGAAGAATATATATAAGAATATAGCTGCTCCTACTCACTTTTAATTTTCATCTGTTTCCCACCTTTTCACCTTGAATCTATGAGACTCTTTACAAGTTAAATGGGTTCCTTGGAGACAGCAGATATTTGAGTTATTTTTTTTTTTAATCCATGCCATCAATCTATATCTTTTAAGTGAGGAATTTGACTGTTTATACTCAATGTTAATATTTATAAGTGAGATATGGTTCTAGTCATCAAGTCTTCCATTACCTAGTTATTTTATAGTCTTCCTTGTGTTACTGTTTCATATGAGCTGTGAATCTTTACTTTTGAGTTTTTACACTGGTGAGTGTCAACTGTACTTTTTGGTCTTTAGCACATTTGTGGGCATTTCTTGTAGGACAGGTCTAGTAATGACAAATTCCTTTAGTGTTTACTTGTCTGAGAAAGATTTTATTTCTCCTTCATTTATGCAAGACACAAAATTCTTGAGTGACAATTATTCTGTTGAAGAAGACCAAAGGTGAGACCCAAATCCCTTCTTGCTTATAAGGTTTCTTCTGAGAAGTCTGCTGTTATTCTGATGGATTTTCATTTGTAAGTTATTTGATGCTTTTGTCTCACAGTAGAATTTTCTCCTTCACTTTGACTTTGGCCAGACCGATAACTATGTGTCTTGGTGATTTTATTTGTCCATTTGCATTGCTATAAAGAAAATACTTGATGCTGGGCAATTAATATAGAAAAGAACTTTATTTAGTTCACAATTCTGCGGACTGTACAAGAAACATAGCACCAGTATCTGCTTCTGGTAAGCGCTTCAGGGAACTTCCAAACAAGGTGAAAGGTGAAGGGGTAGCAGACATGTCACACGATGAGAGCAGGAGAAAGAGAGAGAGGAGGTGGTGCCAGATTCTTTTAAACAACCAGCTCTTAGTATAGTATACACAGCTCTTGTATATACTAATAAAGTGAGAACCCATTCATTATCATGGGGAGGGCACCAAGTCATTCTTGAGGGATATGTCCCCATGGTCCAAACACCTCCTAACAGACCCCACATTCAACACTGGGGATCAAATTTCAATATGAGATTTGAAGGGGCCAAACATCTGAGCCATAACAGCAATGTTCTATTTGTAACAAGTCTTCCAGAGATTCATTTGCTCTTGTAGCTGGATGTCTAAATCTCCAGCAAGACCAGGGAAGTTTTCCTTCATTATTCCCTCAAATGGGTTTTTCATACTTTTTCTTCCCCCTCAGGGATATGTATGATTATTACATTGGGTATTTTACAAAATCCCCAATTTATCAGAGCCTTTGTTCATTTCTCTTGAGTCTCTTTTCTTTATTTTTGACTGACTGGGTTGAATCAGAAGCCTTGTCTTTAACTTGTGAAATTCTTTCTTCTGCTTGGTCTAGTCTATTGTTCAAACTTTCCACTGTGTTTTGAAATTCCCTAAATGACTCTTTCATTTTCAAAAGTTCTGTTTTTTTTAAATATCTACCATTTATTGAATTTTTCATTCATGTCTTAAATTATTATTTGTATGTGTGTGCATGTGTGTGTGTGTTGGTTTTCACTTTCTCATTAATCCCACTGAGCTTAGTTGCGATCCATATTTTGAATTCCATGCCTGAAATTTCAAAAATTTCCTTTCAGTTGGAGTTCATTACTGGGGAGCAAGTGTGATCCTTGGGAGGGTGTCAAAACAGCCTTATTTTTTTTTTCAAATATTGCCAGAGTTCTTCTGTTGGTTCCTTCTCATCTGGAACCTCTTCCCTCAGCTCAACATGGATAGCTTTGTCGTTCACCTGTTCTCTTCTTCCAGGAACTCTGCTTCTCAGTGTAGAGAGGGAGTGGTATGCTGCCTTTTGGCTCACGTAGGTAGGTACTCACTATGGTGTCCCTGACAATTTGGGTCAGTTAGACCTCAAACCCCTGAAAGAGTGTTCAGGTGCCAGCAGTGGTGGACTAGGTTAGCTAATTCCCAGTCCCCTGGCCTCTGAGTGGCATGCTTGTGTCCTGAGGGAACAAGACTGAGACTGGACTGGCAAATTTTCCTTCAGTCCTCCCTGAGTTCAGTGATAGTAAAAGATGGGGTGACTTGCTCTGGAAGAATGCTCAGGCAGGAGAAGGGAGATACGTTATGGGCCTTAGACAGGAGGGATAGACCACTTGTGACAAGATTAACAGAGGTAGGCAGCTGTCAGATACACAAGCCACTCACATCTTCCTTTCCTGATAGTGACAGTGGTGTCTGTCCTTTGGGGCTACAAAAATTCCCAGATTTCCAGATCATAGCTTGGCCCAACTGCAGCAGAAGTGGTAGAGGCAGCTCAACCTGCTTTGTGCAGGGCTACTGAACTAGCTGTGGGCTATGGCTAAAATTCTCCAGTGGGTAAGGTGTAGTCATGCCAGGTACTTGCCTCCAGGGAGGGTAGGCTTCTCCCAGAAGAGACAGACAGCTCAGGGAGAGGACTGCTGTCGCCACCCTCCCTTAGGGGAGGCAGTATATTTTGTCCTTTGGGCACATGTGAAAGTGCTTGCCATAGCTTTTTAGAGGGAAAAGAGTGAACCCTAAGATCTATGCAAAGCCTGGATGTGATAGGTGCTCTGTCAGAGGTGGGGCAGCCATACCCAAGGGCCCTGACTTAATCATCCCCCGTTGAACGCCCATTGGTCCCAAACTTACACAGCTGCAGCTGCCTTGGCAGCAGTGGGTGAGGGACAGGAGGAGGAGGAGAAGGACCTGGTTGATATTCCTGGGTCAGGACAGCTGTAAAAATGCTGCCTGTCTGTGAAGTAAGGGAAATGAGCCTCATCCTCTGTGCAGAACCCGGGTGTGGTGAACAGAGTACTTTTGGGGGTGTGCCCCTGATGCAAGCCTGGAACTGGTCATCCTACAGCACTCCCACTCCAAAAGCTCATGCTTGGGAGCAGAGGTGGCTGTGTCTGTAGCAATGGGTGGTTGGAAGAGGGGAGGTCCCCATCTTCATGGCTCTTCCTGGGTTCCAGTGCCTCTTCTACTCCTTGGTAGGTATACTCTCCCACCCTATGGAGTTGTCTTTGCACATGTGTCTCCCCTGGGAGGGCACAGACAACTTTGGATCACAAGCCGGGGGTTCTCGGGTGCAGAAAGTGCACATTCCTGCTTCCTCTGTCCTAAAAAGTGTTTTCAGAGCTAACCAGTTTGCTTGGGGCCATCCACCCTGTGGGCCAGAACTCTAGAAATATGGCTGCTTTCCTGTGTCTCCCTGTCACTTTGGGGTTGCCATAGTCCAAGCAGGTGCCATCTCAGCTCGGGCCTGCGGTGGGGGGAAGTGACCCTGAGTTGACCCACACACCGTGGTATTCTTATTTCAAGAAGCTGTCAGTTCACTGATGGCAGCAGCACCTGGATTCATCAGGGTAGAAGAGCTCTAGGAGAGACTGGGCACTGGAAGACTGCCACAGGTGTGAGTGGAGGGAAGGTAAACACTCTTACCTATCCTTTCCACTGGACTCTGAATTCCTTTGGGGTCAGTTTCAGCCAAAATCGAGCAAAATCTTGCTCCGTGTTCTGCTCCACAACTTTTTTCTTGTGTTATCTCTGGTAAGGGTAATTTCTGGCATCTTTCTCTCAGTATTTCACCTGGGCTATGCTTTTCCACCTGAAACATTTTCTTATTTTGGGGATGATCTGGTGACGGGTGTCTCTAGTTGACCATCTTCCTCCTTCCTGGAGTGTTCTTTCTACTGTGCCCACTACTCTATCCAGTTTCAAATAAATAATAAAAGCTTTTTATTGAATCAAAATGCTTTTATTATTCAGGAATGTCCTGAAAGGGACAGGACAGGTGGGGAACATTTTAAATGCAATTCCACCTGGATTAGGACAGGACTTTTTTGTAAATCGTAAGTGACATGCACTTGCAATGCTAACAGGAGTAGATGATTAGCTTTGCTCACTGCATAGGAGCCTGGTCTCTAGGACATCCATATGAACATTGCGTGCAGCATGGCTTCCGTTTCTCTTGGCATAAAATTCAAAACCTTTTACCTGGCCTGTAAGCCTCTGGCTTATTTGGAACCTCCTTTCTCCAGAACCCCATCTCACATCCTTCCAATTTCTTCTCTGTTCTCCAGCCATGGAAACTGTTTTTCTTGGTTCCTCCATGAGTCATAGCTGCTGCCTACCTTGGGGCTTTTGTATTTGCTGTTCACCTTCTTCTCTCGTTAACTCATACTCATCTTTCAAATTCCAATTTAAGCATTCTCTGAAAAGCCTACTTTGATCCCCCTAGTCTGGTCCTTTGTCTAGACACATACTCACACAATACACATTCCCTTTTCTTCCACAAAACTGACTCCTATTACCTATTACTAGCACTTACCTGTGATAATGAGAACTTTCAAGTATCTGGAACATCTAGCTATCCTATATACAGAACTTTTCACAGCTATTAAGGGTATCTATGACACTTAGGTGTAACTTTTTTTTTTTTTTTTTGGTATCTTTGGAACTGACATTTACCAGTCATTTATCATGTCTAACAACTAACAACTACCCATATGATCTATACCAATCAGATGTATAATCACAATTATGTGTGGCAGGAAATAGCTAAACTTGATCCAAGGCTATTACATACTCTGTCAACCACACAATCTTTATGTATCCAGTTATTGATCTTTAACTGATTTCCTTTTGATGGATTTGCTGCCTCTGCTTAGCATGTGTGCCTAGTGTGATTAAAAAGAGTTTATCATTGCAGCTGATATGATGATGCTGAATCTGTGGGGCTTCTTACTTGCTCATACCATCATTACCTGTCCTGCTTGGTGTCTCTGCCTTTGTGCAATGATATGGCGTATCACAGCTGTACGAAGATCTGGGTGACTAGGATTGTTATTCTATCTTAGGTTTTTATTCTGCAGAAATATTACAGTCCGTATTTTTTCCCCTGTAGGTGTGAAATCCAGGTGATTGAAGATGATGCGTATCAGAGTCTAAACCATCTTTCCACCTTGATATTGACAGGGAACCCTATCCAGAGTTTAGCGCTAGGAGCCTTTTCTGGATTACCAAGTTTACAGAAGCTGGTGGCCGTGGAAACAAACCTAATCTCTCTAGAGAACTTTCCTATTGGACATCTCAAAAGCTTGAAGGAGCTCAATGTGGCTCACAATTTTATCCATTCTTTCAAGTTACCTGGATATTTTTCTAACCTGCCCAAGCTGGAGCACTTGGACCTTTCCAAAAATAACATTCAAAATATTTATCATAAAGACTTGCACATCCTACATCAAAATTCTTCACTCAATCTCTCTGTAGACCTGTCCATGAACCCTATAGTCTTTATTCAACCTGGTTCCTTTAAAGGAATTAGGCTCCATGAACTGACTTTGAGAAGTAGTTTTGATAGTATGAATATAATGAAAACTTGTATTCAAGGCCTGGCTGGTTTAGAAGTCCATCGACTGGTTTTGGGAGAATTTAGAAATGAAAGGAACATGAACGATTTTGACAAATCTGCCCTGGAGGGACTGTGCAATTTGGTCATTGAAGAATTCAGTTTAGCAAACTTAGAAGAAAGCCTGAAAGATGCTGAGTTATTTCATTGTTTGACAAATGTTTCTGCAATTTCCCTGGTGAGTTTGGGTTTATACCATCTAAAAGGCTTTCATAATAAATACGGATGGCGATCTTTAGAATTAGTTAACTGTGAATTTGAACAATTTCCCACATTGGAGCTCTTTTCTCTTGAAAGGTTTATTTTAACTGAGAACAAAGATGGGCTCACTTTTGCAGAAGTTACGCTACCAAGCCTTGAGTACCTAGATCTCAGTAAAAATGGCTTGAGTTTCAAGGGTTGCTGTTCTTATGACGATTTTAGTACAAACAGACTGACACATTTAGATCTGAGCTTCAATGGTGTTATTATCATGAGTTCAAACTTCCTGGGTTTAGAAGGACTACAACATCTGGATTTCCGGCATTCCAATTTGAAACAGGCTAGTGATTTCTCAGTATTCCTATCACTCAAAAACCTCCGTTACCTTGACATTTCTTATACTCACACCCGAGTTGTCTTCCATGGCATCTTTGCTGGCTTGGTCAGTCTCGAAATCTTGAAAATGGCTGGCAATTCTTTCCAAGACAATGTCCTTCCAGATGTCTTCAAAGAAATGAATAACTTGACTTTCCTGGACCTCTCTGCGTGTCAGCTGGAACAAGTGACCCAGGAAGTGTTTAACTCACTCTCCAGTCTTCGATTGCTAAATATGAGCCACAACAACCTCTTAACATTGGATATACTTCCTTATAAGTCTCTCCAATCCCTCCACGTTCTAGATTGCAGCTTCAATCGCATAGTGGCTTCCAAAAACCAAGAACTACAGTATTTTCCAAGTAGTCTAACTTTCTTAAATCTTACTCAGAATGACTTTGCTTGTGTTTGTGAACACCAGAGTTTCCTGCAGTGGGTCAAGGACCAGAGGCAGCTCTTGGTGGAAGCTGAACAAATGCTATGTGCCTCACCTTTAGATATGCGGGGCATACCTGTGCTGAGTTTTAGGAACGCTACCTGTCAGATGAGCAAGACCATAATTGGTGTGTCAGTGGTCACTTTGCTTGTGGTATCCGTTGTACTAGTTCTGGTCTATAAGTTTTATTTTCACCTGATGCTTCTTGCTGGATGCAAAAAACACAGCAGAGGTGAAAGCACCTATGATGCCTTTGTCATCTACTCAAGCCAGGATGAGGACTGGGTGAGGAATGAGCTAGTAAAGAATTTAGAAGAAGGGGTGCCCCCATTTCGGCTCTGCCTTCACTACAGAGACTTTATTCCCGGTGTGGCCATAGCTTCCAACATCATCCAGGAAGGTTTCCACAAAAGCCGGAAGGTTATTGTTGTGGTGTCCAATCACTTCCTGCAAAGCCGCTGGTGTATCTTTGAGTATGAGATTGCCCAGACCTGGCAGTTTCTGAGCAGTCGTGCTGGTATCATCTTCATTGTCTTGCAGAAGGTGGAGAAGTCCCTGCTGCGGCAGCAGGTGGAGCTGTACTGCCTTCTCAAGAGGAACACTTACCTGGAGTGGGAGGACAGTGTCCTGGGGCGGCACATCTTCTGGAGACGACTCAGAAAAGCTCTGTTGGATGGTAAACCATGGAGTCCAGAAGGGACAGAGGGTGCAGAATGATGCCAGCAAGAAGCAACAACTTCTACCAACTGAGGTGCTTCTTGCCCAGCTTGTTCAGTTAATGAGTGCGAAATTCTGCAACATGCCAGGCATTATGCTAAAGGCAAGTGATTCAGTGGTGTTCAAGATACCCAGGACTGCTAATCTCATGGAACATACAGTGTAGTGCAGAGGGAATAAATTCTGGACTGAAATACAGAGCCTTCCCAGTGGGCATTTCTACCAACTCAGCCAAGGAGTCCATGACAGAGAAAGTCACTTCAACTCTTCCCCCATCATCCTGAATAAGAACTAAGAGACTGGGGCCCAGTGAAAGCAGAAAAGGACATTGTTCTTCTCCTGAGTCTCTTGAATGGAAATTTCATTATGCATTATGTTTTAGCCATCTTAAAACAGTTTTGGTAGTTTAAACTAAACCGAGTGTTTGCTCACTTTTCTCCCTTCTGTTGAATACAATTTAAATTCTGCTTGATGACTCAAAAGGATCCTGGTTCAGGATGCTCCTTCCATTTAAAGTCAGTTTTTGTGCAAAGGTTAAAATCGTGTGGCTAATTCCTAAGGAAACCTGATTAACACATGCTCACAACACATCTTGGTCATTTTTTACTAGGTTCTGTTTATTAACTAATAATTTTTGATATATTTTTTCTTTTTATATATCTCCAGTTTTCATTTTTCATGTCTTGTCTATAAGCCTACATCATAAATAAGATGTAGAGACATGCTGGAAATATCCATATTTAACCACTATTTTTCAAGCAAGTATGTAAAATACACTCTGTCACTTTGTCACTTGATGTCATTCTAAAGTTATTACCTACTAAGTTATGACTGTCATGGATGCAGCATTAAAATAATTTGGTTGAAAGGGGCACTTTTTAAAAAAAGAACATGGGGAGAAAAGTCTAACTTCCTGGTCTTATAATGAGCAATTTGTGGTAGAAGCAGGAAGAGAAGTGAGAGGACCTCAGGAGGTCATCTTTTCTCGACAATTCCAGAAACACATAAGCTGGTATGGCTGGAGTATCCCCATGAAATGAGTTGCAGCAGAAGTTCTTTCTCAGGGGGCGTGTTGTTTGATGGACCTTTGAATCTCTTCAGGGAGACAGAGAGGACTGGGACTCCTGTCTGTCACCCTCCCCACTGCCAGGAGACCTGCCTGTCACAGGACTCAGGAGGAGGAGTACACATCTTTGTCTCCCACTGCGCCTTGCTCCCTGCCCACATTTTGGGAAGGGTGGTTGTTGTCATTGAGAAAACCCTGTGTCCAGGGTTAATGGAGTTCCTAGGAAGTTCTCTGAAAAGCATGTTCACCCAGCTTCTCTAGAAATGGTGCATTCAAAGGCAGAACAATGAGGACATCATAGGGGAAATGCAAATCAAAGGCACACTGAGACCTCACCTCTTACCAGTTAGAATGGCTACTATCAAGAAAAAGAATACGTGTGGAGGGTGTAGAGAAATTAGAACCCTCCTATGCTGTTGGTAGGAAGGTAAAATGGTGTAGCCATTTAATAGAACAGTATAGAGTCTCCTCAAAAATGAAAAATAGAAGCACTATGTCATCCAGACATCCTACTTCTGGGTATATACCCAAAAGAATTAAAATCAGAATCTCAAAAAGATGTCTGCACTCTTGTGTCCATTGCAGCACTATTCGCAATAGCCAAGTTACGGAAACAACCCAAATGTGCATTGAAAAATAAATGGGTAAATAAAATGTGTTATATACATACATAGGAATATTATTCAGCCTAAAAAATAAGGAAATCCTGTCAGCTGTGACAACATGGATAACCTGAAGGTCATTATGCTAAGTAAAATAAGACAGTCACAGAGTGACAAATACTTCTTGATTTCACTTATATGAGGTATTAAAATAGTCCAAGTCATAGAAACAGAATAGAACAGTAGTTGCTAGGGGCCAATGGGTGGAAGAATGGGGAAATAGGGAGATGTTGTTTAATTGGTATAAAGTAATAGTTATGCAATGTGAATTAGTTCGAAAAATCAGCTGTACAACATAATGTCTATAATGAACAATATCGTATTAGGCATTTAAAAAGTTAAAAGGGTAGATCTCATGTTAAGTGTTCTTACCACACGTGCGCGCGCGCGCGCGCACACACACACACACACACACAAGTGCAAAAAATTAAAAAAATAAAAAAAGGACACAAGAAAACTTTTGGAAGTGGTTGGATAAATCTATTACCTTGATTGTGGTGATGGTTTCACAGGTGAAGCATATGTCCAAATTAATCAAACTATATACACTACATATGTGCAGTTTTTTGTATTTCAATTATACCTCACTGAAGCTGTTCAAACGAAGAGAGAAGAAGGTCCAGTAGTCAAAACTGGAAATATGGTCACACTCAGGAGTATGTTTGTGACTGAGTTTCAGAGTGTGTTAGATTTGAGCATTGCTGGAGTAGCTGAATATACCTAGATGTGTTTATGTCTTATGTACTAGTGAAAGTGGTTATATTTTTGCACATGTCCCTATGTGTTCCCATTAGTGTTTGTGTGTATTCGAGAGCATGTGTGGCTGTATGATCGTAGCTGCATAGAAGAGAGTTGATTGTATTTCTTGGAGAATATGTGCATAGGATGTGGATGTCTATGGCTGTTTGAGATGGGTTGTGTACTCTTGTGTTTGTATAGTAGACCCCCTTATCCTTGGGGGATATGTTCCATGACCCCAAGTGGATGCTTGAAAACCCAAATAGCACCAGACCCCTATATACGCTATGTTTTTTCCTATATGTAAATACCTATGATAAAGTGTATTTTATAAATTAGGCACAGTTAGAGGTTAACAACAATAATTAATAATAAAATGGAATAATTATAATAATATATTGTAATGTGGTTTCTCTCTCTTCATCTTTCTCTCTCTGTGTCTCTCAAAATATGTTATTGTACTGCACTCACCTATTTTCAGAGCATGGTTGATGGTGGTAACTGAAACCTCAGAGAGTGAAACCCTGGATGAGGGGGGAGTAATGTACATACATGATTGCTTATCTACAAATGGATCCATTAGTTTCTGAGGATGGTTGAAAGCGTGTGATTTTTGTGTATGGCCTTGTTATATGTGAATGTGCTTGCGTTCATATTTGAGTATGTATTCTACATATGTGTGTTTGTTCAAGCAAATATACAAGGCTCCAAGCAGGAAGATCAACATACAACTGGAGTATTTCCTATATGCAAGGCTGACGTTGACTCTTTCCCATCAGCCCCTTCTCCAAGATGAGAATTCCAGGAATTGCAGGTGAGGTGGACATAAAAGGAAAAAAATGATATCTGCAGAAACAGAAGGAGAAGAAAGAGGAAAGTCAGGCCTGGGACAGACTCTTCGCAGCTGTTTAAACTCTGGATGAGATGAAGGGTGAAATAGAGAGAAATGAATACCAATTAGAATGCCTTAAATCTGTGTAATACCCTACAACCTGCAACATAGTCACATAATTATAACCATGTTTGAGTCTCCTATTGACTAGGTAAGGTAGCAAATCAATAATTAATTTTATCACTTTACTAACGTGACACTTGAAGTTGAATGACACAAATTTATTGTCAACAGACCACAGAGTAAGCAAGTGGCAAGGCCTGAACCTGGGCCCCCCTGCCCACTCAAGGAAGTTCACTTTCCACTACACCCCATTGCTTCATAGCAAGAAGTGAAACCCTTGCAGTTCTCTGTGTGGTTGACACTAGTCAAGGATTTTCAAACTGAAACCATGAATCATTAAGCAAATACATATGCATATCTATTATACACACCGAATGATTTATTTATAACACATCTCTTTCCATGAAAGACTTCAAGGAGCTTTGAACAAGGTATACATGGACAATAGGGCTAACTAATTCGACGCAGAAAATTTGGCCAAAGAACAAAAAGAGGAAAGAAAGACACCAAGGATAAGCTTTAGCATAGTGTTTTCCAGAGGCATTTCTCACTGTCTCAGCCTCCATCCATAGGATTGGCATACTGTAGCCTCCTTCTGCACTCTGTAATCTTTTTAGAAATCATCAGCAAGTTCCTGGAGTCCTGTATGAACTTGTGTAATGTGTGACAATGAACTGTCTGGGAGGATGGAGACTGAGGTCTGATCCACTCTCTCCGTTCCCTTGTGTGATCTCGGGGAAGGCAGTCAAGTGCCTTGAGGCTCAGGCTTGAATACACAATATGAAGGTAATGGTACCTTCTTGGAGGAACTCACTTGGCTGTAACAATAATAATGATAATAGCAATAGCGACATTTAATTGATCAATCATTTTGCACAAGTGCTTTGTTTGTGCTATCTCATTTGCTTTGCCTCATCAATGACTTAGGAAGATACTAAATTATTTCCAATTTACAGATGAGGAAACTGAGGCTCAGAGTCATTCTGTAATGGGTCTAACATTTCCTGTTAATAAATGGCAGCACTGAGATTAGGGTCTACATCCACTCTAATTTAGTTCCAGGACATCTGAACACGGTTCTATGCCAAGAGCACCCTGCTCCCACAAAAATGCATAAAACCTCCTATCCCATGATCACGATTTTGACTGATATTAACGAAAGGGAATTATTGTTATTGTTATTTATATTAACAGCCATAAAAGCCTTGGAAAAGCAAATCAGAGATACACGTGGTTAAAGATTATTATACACGTGGATGAGTCGGGGCCCACTGATGGCCTTTCTTTGAACAACATGCTTGGGGTTGTTTTGTCATATCTGTCTTTAGTTGTTCTGACTTTCTGATGGGCATCACAGACTTGTGCTTAAACACAGAGGTTATGGGGAAGTTCCAAAAGCTAAGGACTTTCCAGACGGTTGGAATAAGATCACACACTATGGTTTCCCTGATGGAGATCACTGAACTTTTCAACTCAAAGTGGAATCTGTAGCCTAAGTGGTCTACCAAAAGGAATCAAATACATTGAGGACCGTGTGTGCTCATCAGATTGTTGCTGCTCCCTTGTGAGTGAGTGGTCACTCTCCTCACTTTAGCAGTGAAGAAATGGATGCCCAGAGAGGATGAGTAACTTGCCTAACGTCACACAGCTTATATTTATTAATCACAATAACAACTTACATTGGCTAAGCTTTTGGTACATGCATGGGACTGTCCTATTAATATTTGTGCGTTAATTCATTAAATTGTTAAAATAACCCCCTGATGCAGATACTAGTAGCTTGGCCATTCCACACATGAAGAAAGTAAGGTACAAGATAGTGAACTGTCCAGTTGGAAAGGGCAGAATCAGAGTGTGAACCCAAGTCGGCCTGATTCCCAGGACTGCATTTTTCCCATCCTGTAACCGCTTGCTGTCATGTCCTGAGCTGTTCTGCCAAGGGTGGTTACTGGAGTCACTAGAGAATAATTTAGACAAGGTCAGCAGCTCCCACACCATCTAGGAATTGAAAGTTTAAAAGGCAGAGTCTGCAACTCCCCTTGATTTCTGTAGAATTAAGATGATTCCTCCTGTGACAGTGCTAAGTGACAATTCTGAGTGTAAATGTGCTTTTTGGCACAAATTGTCCTGTCCTAATAGTCTTGATTATAATTATAAAATAATGGGTTTCTGAAAGGCTGCAAGCAGTTCCGGGAATGGCAATAAGGGTTTAGAAACGACGTGATGTTTACGAGAGAAGTGTTTTGTTGAAAATTAAACTCATGTTTAGGAGAAAGGACTATGTCGTATGCTCCTAAGAAACTGTCTCACTATGTAATTAAATCAAAGCCGGGCAGTTGCTAATTTGAGCTCTTGTCTCACACTAACAACACCCCATTTCTTGTGGGTCGAGCAGGACAGGACTGACCTGAAGTAACCTAGCCTGACCCTTATCCTCAACCTCCCTC